CTTCTGCGTCGACACGCCAAAAAATATATTTTCACTCCAAACAACGATAAATTGAATATTTTCTATATTCCCCTCAGTTTTAAATTGCTGTACTTTGCAATCATTTAAAGCCCCAATTTCTTGTGTTCCAACAAAATTTTTTATTCTTTCCGAATTTCCTACAATGTTGTATTCGATATAAATACAGTATGATAATCGTTTTTTATTTGTTACGCCAGGAGTAACACAAATGTTCTTCTCGTATTCAATCGAACCTTAGATTATTTGTAAGAGTAGAAAATTAAAGAAAATATTCCAAAATTTATTGTGATATGCCCAAAATTTTATTACTTTTATCCCACTAAAGGTCGATATAAAAATTCAAAAAGCCGAACCAAAACCGGAACTGGGAAGGGTAGGTCAGTCCAAAATTTATCTCTCATTGGCAATTTTTTAATTCTTTGAGAGAATAAAAAAGTAAGGAGAAGGAAATGAAAATATTGGAAGATTTTTTGCATAGCCTTTTAACTTCAAAATCTTTTGTTATCTTGTTTCATAGCATTGAAAATTAAGATTTTATTTTGGAAATTAATATACAAAAAAGTGCTATAAACCATTTGATTTGCATGTATGTGGCTGAGTTTCGGTAATATTATTTGGTAATCTCTGTGGTAATCTCTGTGGTAATATCTTTTTATCAGCCCAATCAAACGTCATATAAGTAATTCTTCCGGAACAATTTTTATTTCTTTCCTTGCATCTCAAATTAAAAGTATTTTTTCTTTTTCCTTGATCACTCGTGTATTTGAAACATTTGTAAATACGAGTTTTAACAAAAAATACATGATCACCTGTTATTATTAAATAATTTTTCTTAAATAATTTTTCTTAAATGAGATCAGTAGGAAATTAATATTAATTGTTCATTGACTTATAAGTTTCATGTCTCAAAGAACATAACATTGTCTTTTAAATTTTTTGTTTTTTTTTTGATTGGCCTCTGAGAGGGCAGAGATTCCTCGAGATACCCCATCTTTATTGTAATCCTCTGTATACTATTAGTCGAAGCCTCGGAGATATACTACGGTAAAGTTGCTGAAACCCATTGTGACCATTTTACAATATTTATAAGGAATTTGCCATATCTTTGCCCTATTTTTCCATTTTGTAATATTTTTAAAATTTATGGCATTTTGTAAACGAAATGGGAAAATGAAGGATTTTTGGCTTATTGGTCTTCCTAAATGCTAAAATTTCGCCAAAATGCTCAAGATCTCTGCTTTTATAGTTAAGAATGTTACCGGTCATTTGGGGAAATTAAGAGGAATATCAGGAAATTGGGAGATTAAGAGGTATCAAGAAATTAAAAGAATCTGAGGAAGATAACAAGAGATTGTGAGAATTAAGACGAAGGAAGTGGAAGGAAGTGGAGTGGAAGTGGAGTGGAAGTGGAGTGGAAGTGGAGTGAAGTGAAGTGAAGTGGAAGTGGAAGTGGAAGTGGAAGTGGAGTGGAAGTGGAGTGGAAGTGGAGTGGAAGTGGAGTGGAAGTGGAGTGGAAGTGGAAGTGGAGTGAAGTGGAAGTGGAAGTGGAAGTGGAAGTGGAAGTGGAAGTGGAAGTGGAGTGGAAGTGGAGTGAAGTGGAAGTGGAGTGGAAGTGGAGTGGAAGTGGAGTGGAAGTGGAGTGGAAGTGGAGTGAAGTGAAGTGAAAGTGGAGTGGAAGTGAAGTGAAGTGAAGTGAAGTGAAGTGAAGTGAAGTGAAGTGGAAGTGGAAGTGGAAGTGGAAGTGGAAGTGGAAGTGGAAGTGGAAGGGGAAGTGGAGTGGAAGTGGAGTGGAAGTGGAGTGAAAGTGGAGTGGAAGTGGAGTGGAAGTGGAGTGAAGTGAAGTGAAGTGGAAGTGGAGTGGAAGTGGAGTGGAAGTGGAAGTGGAGTGGAAGTGGAGTGAAGTGAAGTGAAGTGGAAGTGGAAGTGGAAGTGGAAGTGGAAGTGGAAGTGGAGTGGAAGTGGAGTGGAAGTGGAGTGGAAGTGGAGTGGAAGTGGAAGTGGAGTGAAGTGAAGTGGAAGTGGAAGTGGAAGTGGAAGTGGAAGTGGAAGTGGAGTGGAAGTGGAAGTGGAGTGGAAGTGGAGTGAAGTGGAAGTGGAGTGGAAGTGGAGTGGAAGTGGAGTGGAAGTGGAGTGGAAGTGGAGTGAAGTGAAAGTGGAGTGGAAGTGAAGTGGAAGTGGAGTGGAAGTGGAGTGGAAGTGAAGTGGAGTGGAAGTGGAGTGGAAGTGGAGTGGAAGTGGAGTGAAGTGAAGTGAAGTGAAGTGGAAGTGGAAGTGGAAGTGGAAGTGGAGTGGAAGTGGAGTGGAAGTGGAGTGGAAGTGGAGTGGAAGTGGAAGTGGAGTGAAGTGAAGTGGAAGTGCAAGTGGAAGTGGAAGTGGAAGTGGAGTGGAAGTGGAAGTGGAGTGGAAGTGGAGTGAAGTGGAAGTGGAGTGGAAGTGGAGTGGAAGTGGAGTGGAAGTGGAGTGGAAGTGGAGTGAAGTGAAGTGAAAGTGGAGTGGAAGTGGAGTGGAAGTGGAGTGGAAGTGGAGTGGAAGTGAAGTGGAAGTGGATTGGAAGTGAAGTGGAAGTGATGTGGTAGTGAAGTGGAAGTGGAGTGGAAGTGGAGTGGAAGTGAAGTGGAGTGGAAGTGGAAGTGGAGTGGAGTGGAAGTGAAGTGGAAGTGAAGTGGAATTGGAGTGGAAGTGAAGTGGAAGTGATGTGGAAGTGAAGTGGAAGTGGAAGGAAGTGGAAGTGATGTGGAAGTGAAGTGGTAGTGGAGTGGAAGTGGAGTGAAAGTGGCTTTGGAAGTGGAAGGAAGTGGAAGTGGAAGGAAGTGCTAAGGAGGTGGCTTTGGCCATCCAAAATTCGTAGTTCAGTTAAAACTAGTGAAAATTTGAGCTTTTAATTAATTTTTAAGCTTTTAAAATTTCGCCATATTTTAGTGGCTTGGAAACATTCACCCTGCTCAGAACCTGTAAATTTATCAGAATTTAATGAAAATCCTTTGTCAACAATTTGATTCATATCAAGTCCAAAATCCAAATTAATTTCGTCGGTCATATTTTTTTCTTCCACTTGCTGATATTCTAGCACTTTATATTTTCCTTTCTCTAAATAGACGTTTTTTAAAATAATTGTTAAAATTTTTAAAGCTTCAGTGCCTCGTTTTAGTTTATTTTAATATTAGAATATGTTTTTTTTATTTCAAAAAACAGAGCTTTTTTGAAACAAAAATCTCTAAAAATCGTAGTAACTGAAAAAAAAAATATCGAAAAATCCTGAGTCCAACTCAGTCAAATGCTTATACACATTTGGGATTTTCTAACTTTTCTTGGATATTTTTAATAAAAGAATTTTTGGCTTTTCTGTCTTCTGAAATTTCAAAAATCTTTGCTTTCGACGCTTAAATGCTCTCTCTATTGAAACCAGCTTAATTTTTAGTGTCCGAATCCTGCACCGAATTAATAATCAAATTAATGCGTCCCTTTTTAAACTGACCTTCCTTTCTTTGATCTATCATTTCTTGTGTTACCAAAAGGTATTTTTGATTTTCGTTTTCTATTTCATTTGGATTGTTTTGTAAATTAGGCATTGAAGAAGATTCACCTTGACTTGGAATTGTTGGAAATTGTGTATAAGGATGGGGTGGGGGTGGTTGTTGATGAGTCGAGGTTTGGGTTTGATAATCTTTGTTGTACATATTTTGAGGAGGCATTGAGGAAGATTCACCTTGACTTGGAATTGTTGTAAATTCTGTATAAGGATAATGTGGGATATATACATTGGTTGGTCTTGAATATTTTGAATATTTCTAATATAATCATCATCAATATCACTTCCAAAACATTTAGAAAATAACAAAATAAAAGTTAAAACATTTAAATAAATCATTTTAAAAAATAATTATAGCTAAATTTAAATTTATTTTTAGTAAATTTTTATAAAATAAAATCTAAAATTGATTTTCTTATTACTGACAGTCAGCTATGGCAATCCTTAAGAAGGAAGCTTATTGACTAATTAAGTAAAATTAATTAATCAATTATTAAATTTTAAAAATTATTAAAAATTAATTAATTAATTTGTAAAATTTTAAATTAAATATAAGTGAAGTTAATTACTAGTTTCAGCATGTTTAGACGAACTTTTTTGTGAGAATAAGTCGCGAAATACCCTCAAAAAAACTTAAAAGGTTAAACATTTTGACGCAGTAAGCTAAAATTTTTGGATTTTTTATTCAGTATTCATAAAATTGGAAGGGTGGATATACATAGAAAAGTTCGCAGTTTGAAATTATAAACTTTCAAGGAAAATTTTCCCATAGGAAAAAGAAAAATCCTTCGTTTCTTACTCCTTCAATATCTATAGTTCGTGCAGTAAAAATCGTAGCAAAAATTGGATAGATAAAATACCGCATTAATACCGAACAGTCCCTTAAATCCTTTTTTCTTTCTTAAAAATTTTTATTTTATTAAAATATTTTTTAAGCTTTCGACGCACGAAAAATCGGCTTAATTAGCCTCGATTGGCAAAGACCTAATCAACCTGAAGAACTAAGCATACTTTCTGCACCAGCTCCAATAAATGGTATTACAGAAAGAGAATTAAGTATTGTAGCCGATTCACCTACATATCAGTAATTTTTTTCCTTTCATGGTTATTAACACAAAATTCCGCAAATAATAACTTAAACTCAAAAAATTTTCTTAACACAAGTAATTTTAAACAAAAAGATTTTATTTTATAATAATTAAATATTAATTGTTTGCTGAATTAAGGGTAGAAAATCGGACAAATAGAATATTTGATCGTATAATCTCGAATAATTTTGAATTTTGAATTCATCGATTTCCTTGGTGAAAATCGAATTATTGACAGGGGTTGAATAGATTTCTCCGTGATTTTTAATTTTTTAAAAATTTTTAACACTTAAATTTTTACCTGCTGCGAAATTAGGAATGATTAAAGGGGATATTGTGAGATTTGGAGGAATTTAAAAAATAATAGGATTAAGCGGGATTTGGTTTGATAAAGGATATTGAGAATCGGGAATGATTAGGAGGAAGATCGGCGATATTAGGTGATTTGAATGGATATCTAGGGTATCGGGGGATCTTAAGTAATATCCTGAAACATTTTCACTAAAACGATTTTCACAAACCAGATAGTGAGCTTGAATCGGATCAAACTTATCAAGGAAATGTCTTTCCGTTAATTAGAGAACAACTTACAACTCTTAAAAATTGAAAAAGCTTCTATGTATAAAGAAATATACGGTGATTCAGATATCCTAATAATTCAAATGATACCGAAACATGCAGAATTTTGTGTACGTTAGCCAAAGGCTAAAAAAATTAATAACAAATTTAGGCTCCAAATTCGTCTAATCGGTGCTGAGGTAAATTATACTTGAAAGAAAAATTTTAATTAATTTTTAAACTTTCAGACAGCTCTCCAATTTCGCGATGCATTAATCGAAATTCCTTCACCCCACCACACATTAACAATTCATTGGCGTGGATGGCGTGTTGATATATATTCTTTACAATCCCCCTTTGAAGTTCGTGCATTGGCTGGAAGTGAAATGTTGAGAATTAATTGTTATCAAGAAGCCTTGACAGTTGATGTTTTTGCTGATAGTATTACTGTAGATGTTAAAAGATTGTCTAGGTGACATTTATTGAATAAGATTTAGAATTTGTGGGGAGTTAGCGGAACTTAAAACATGATTACCACAAAATAAGTTAAAATTATATAGATATTCATGTGGTTTGCAAAATTATGTTTGCCGAATTTTATTTTTAGCGGGATTCCGCAAATCAAAGAAGAGTTGGTATTGAGAGGCAGGATCCTGTCCCGAGCAGGGCATCCGTATACATATTTGTTAAATATCAACAGACATAACAAAGGCCATCATTTTTTGGAATTTTTTGTCTTTTTGCTGCTTCGCCCTACGATTTTTAAAATCCTCAGCTATTAGATCATCTTTTAAATTTCCCATTTTTCCTTTCGCTTTCCAGAATTTAATTTGAAATTTAGGCTTTTAGTCAACCGTTCTTCATCCTCTCCCCCATCATTATTAAGAGTTAACGGTGCACAGATTTCATCTCCTAACAATGATAACAATGAAAGTAACAATATAATAGACTTGGCAGAATTGCTTTCTAGACAATTACATTTGGCATTAAGTAGAGATGGAAATCAAAATAATTCATCAGCAGCAGTTTTGGCGGATGCAAGAAATTCACAATTAAAATTGGCTCGGGCTAATCGAACTACTGTAATTTATTTTGAAAATAATTACAAGCTTAGCTATTGTTAAAATATTTTCAAAATAAATTAAAATTCAAAGGCAACATTAACTGCTCTAAGACATTTTGTTGAAATGCTGGGAGGTCAGCCTCAATTACAATTATTAGCCGGCAACGTTTCTGTACGTATGAGTGCAGGACATGACGAGGAAATTTTCTTCCTTGATACAAAAATTTTGTCTAGAGAATTGTTAGAGCCTGAAGCAACGTTAGAACAGGACCCTTTTGGAATTGGTTGGTTTTTTGGAATTAAGAGGGGGATATTCTTAGAGAGCGAGTGTTTTGGGCGGATAAATATATGTAGGAGAGTCTCACAACTATTATTTATTTTCTAGGTCCAATTGTTCCAACAGTTTGGCCAGTAGCTCCAGATTGGCAAAACACTGTCTCTACTCCTTCCATATCCTCACCAACACAGCAACGTACACGTACATCACGTAGGCCCATCACTAGCTCATCTAGAATGTAAATTATTTGAATTTCCCTTTCTCTCATTCCCTTATTAGACCCAATGATCTTAACAAAAAACTTCTTAAAATTCAGACCTTCATCCTCATCAACAACAGAAGAGACAACAACAACTGAAGTGTTAGAGGAAGAAGGAGAATCAACAATGCAAATGGCACCTCCTAGTGAATTATTTAATTTCAGACATTCATTTCCAACAACAAATACTTCTCTCGAAATTGAAGAAGATAAAACGAACGTAATTAAAAATATAAATTTCCTATTTTTACCCATACAAAAAGGAAATATAATTTTTTAATCCAGATTTCACAAGATTTGGACAGTTTTCCTTCTCCCCAACAACATTTATTTACATTTTCACCACCGTTCGCAGATTTTCTAGTTGGACAGTTTGAAACGCCTGGTACTTTAAAATATATAAAATTTCCTGAATTAATTAGACCTCTAAAATATTTTTCCCTTTTGAATTTAAAAATTTTTTTTCAATTTATCAGCCCAAAATGTTAATTTAAACAATTCAACAATCTCCTCTTCCTTTCAACCCATCAACAACAATTCATTCCCAATTTCTGCAACTATATCAGCATTACAAATCCCTCCAAATTTGGAAGAAAATCAAAAAGTAAATGAAGCTGTTTATGAAGATTTTCCGGGCATTAGACGTGAAAATAGACCAAAACCAGAATTTATTTGGAGGCCTGAAGAAAATCAAAAAGATGAAAAAATTAATGACCAAGAAGAAGATGAAGAAAATGAAGATTTAATAGAAAATAAAAATATTTCTTTTAATGAAAAAATGAGAAAAAAGAGAAGAGATGATAAAACAACAAATTCAGATATAATTGAAAGAGTGGAGGAAAATAAATTGGAAAATAATAATAGTAATTAAAATTTTTGAATAAATTAAAATTCGAGTAAAGCATAGCTGGGCTATAGTAGCTATTTCTCTCCTTCAGCCAGTGCAAAAGGTTATTCGGCGGCTGGGAACGAACCAGCATCTTCAGTAGACCGGACTGATGTGTTATCAATTACTCTAACCGCCTACTGCAAAGCCTTGGGAATTAAATAGCTATATGCTTTATATTATATTGTGATAGTTGGAGATAGCTAATAGTCAATTGTGGATACTAAGATACTAGAGATTGGTCTGGATTCGGATCCAGTCTGGATATTTTTTTGGATCCAGGTCAAGAACCTTTTCAAGGTTACTAACCTAAATCAGATCCAGAATTTTTGAAAATACCGATCTCTAGTCCATACTATACAAAATAATTACTAAAAACCTCAACCTCCAATTGGAGGAATTGTCTATTTTAAAATTGTTGGGGAATTTCTGAACAAACATAGGTTCATTTAAATGTGTCTAAGAAAATCTCTTTTGAACAAAAATGGACAGCTCGAGATAAAAGAATTTTTTTAAATTTTATTTACTTTTACCAGCTACAATATTTAATACTAGCAACAAAAACAAAAATTCAACAAAATTTTCCCAACAACAATTTGTTCGTTCACCAGCTCTAAAAGCAATAATTACTAATTCACTTCCAATCCTACCAATTGGATTATTAGCTTTAGGAATTTCATTAGCCATAATGTTAGCTAGTTTACGGCCTTCAAACAATGCTATTAAAGTAAAAAATAATTTTTTTTAATATTTAGATTTAGTTTTTGAAATAACAAAATTAAGTTTTTAAATCTTAAAATTATATTTTAAAAAATTGTTAGGATATAAATAAAAGTCTTCTAAAGATTTAGAAATTTTGGAAAAAAGTAAAATATTCCGTCTAGGGATGAGAAATGCCGATATCTCCAAAACTCCTTAATCTCCCATGTATCTCTACACAAACCATCATCTCTCTTAGTCTACACAAATTTCTCTTATCTTCACAAAATTTTATATTGATACTTAAGATGTTCTATTATTAAATTGATAATGATTTTTTAATGTTTAGGAAAAAACAGGGGGTAATTATTTAAAAGGGTAATTATTAAAGAGGGTAATTATTCGAGTCACCCTGCAAAGAACCTTTTACTTCTTAAATTTCTGAAAACATATTTTCTCGTCTATTAAAATAAAATTTGATTTTAGGGAGTACGTCGTTGGCTTAAAAACTTAACTAGAAAAAGAAGGCATAATATTTCAACAAATGGAAAAATTCAAAAAATTTGATAATAAATTGGATTTTATATTTTTATTTTTTTAGAATTATATTTAGTTGATTTTTAATTTAAATTAATTTAATTTTATCAAAATATAACTCTTTAACCACTCAACACAATTTTAAAAAGTATACCGGAATACGGCAATTAAAAATTCTATTAAAATCTAATACCTCAATTCTGTCAAAAATAAAGCTAAACTAAATTTATATTTTAAAACTAAAAATTTTAAATCAAGTAATGAAAATACTACTTTAAAAAAATTTGAAAAATAAAGCCCTTGAAGACAGAGATGGTAATGTTTAGATTCCGTATAGGGGATTGTTAAAAACTTTTCTGGCTCAGGATTCAGAGGATAAATTTTGCATATCACAAATCGAAAAAGTACGTGATTAAGGGAGAATTTAGATCTATTAGTAAACAAAACCACGAATCTCTTAGAAAATAAACAAATTTAAATAAAAATTATGGCAATCCCGGAGAATTGGGGTTTCTTCGAAAAAAAATTTAAAAATAAGTAAAAAGGATTTTTCTATGGTGAAAAATATGCTGATTACAATCCAAGCTCAGATTTTGAAAAAGTCGAATCCCAAACCCGAATTCGGACATTTGACCCCGAACATTGTCTCACATTGTACAAAATAGTCAGTCTTTCAAAAGATTGTAGAACTCATCGAGCTGCATTAATAACACCAAAATCGATGAAACCCGACGTGATTGGACCGAGATATAGAGTCGTTTTCTTTGTAGTAAAAATTTTTTCCATTTTCTCCGAGATTGCAAAAATTATGATAAAATAATAACAGAATGAAGTTTAAAATAAATAAAACCCTTGAAAAGTAAAAAATTTAGGAATTACAATTCTATCCACTTTTAAAGTGTTTCCAATAAAACTCATGCCTTTTCCATCATTTTTGTTTGTTGTTAAGAAATTAAAAGTCACAATTTATCCAAAAATACCCATGTTTCAAACCCGAAAATTAAAAAAACTCAGAAACCATTGTAAACCAAAAAAAAATTTAAAAATCAAAACATTCTCTAAAATATCGGTAATAGTTAAGTTTGTGTTTCCTTTTTTTTCTTTCGGCTGTAGTGTAGTGTACCGAGGTAAAAGTTTGGGACCTGGCATGTCCAATTCGTCTCGACGAGCAGAGTCGGTGGTACCACTCCCAATTTCAGGAAATGACTATGGACCGAGTTATATTATACCAAAATCGACCTTACTCCCCTTATGGTTTTTCAATGTTTCGGGACCTATAACTCGGTCCAGAATCATTTACTGAAATTGGGAGTGGTACCACCGACTCTGCTCTCGAGACGAATCGAATGACATATGTCACGTCCCGAACTTTAACCTCGGTTTAACTATTACCAAAATATCAATTTCCTTACGGATTACTTTCTTCAATAGACAGTCTCTCTATCATGCTCAAGTTTAGTTTTTTCGACGGTGTTTATATCCAATGTAATTGTACCATTAGGGACAAAATCTTCGTTTTTGACGTTGAAACGACTCTAAAAATTAAAATTAAAAATATTTTCTAGTCAACTCTAGTTCCAACCTCATACAAAACATCGTCCTTCCCAAAAAATATATTTTCACTCCAAACAACAATAAATTGAATATTTTCTATATTCCCCTCAGTTTTAAATTTTTGTATTTTGCAATCATTTAAAGCCCCAATTTCTTGTGTTCCAACAAAATTTGTTTTTCGGGTTAAATCTCCTACAATCTTGTATTCGATGTAAATACAGTAAGACAACTCTTTTATATTTGATACTCCAGGAGTAACACAAATGGTCATCTCGCGTTTAACCGAACCTTAAATTATTTGTAAAGTAAGATATGTACGTAATGAAGATAAAATATTAAAAGAATATATTCCAAAATTTATTGTGATACGCCCAAAATTTTATTACCTTTACCCGACTAAAGGTAGATATAAAAATTCAAAAAGATGAAACAAGACCGGAACTGGGACGGGGAGTTCAGTCCAAAATTAGTAAACAAAAAGTTAAACAAACCATTTGTTTTACATATATGTGGCTGAGTTTCGTTAAAATTATTAGTTAAATCCTCCGATTTTATAAAAGTCATATAGATAGTCCTTCCCTTGCAATTTTTTGCTCTGTTCGTGCATCTCCAATTAAAAGTATGTGTTCTTGGTTGATCACTCGTGTATTTGAAACATTTGTAAATGCGAGTTTTAACAAAATAAATGTGATCACCTTTTATTTAGTATTTACATATTTATTTAAAGCTCCACATCCTATGCTACAGAAAATTTCATCTAGGTCAAAAAATTTCGGGTAATTTTCTCGATATCCAAAATTTTTGGTCCATATCAAGAATAGTTTTTTGATCTTTGGTGAGTCTTAGTCGCTTTTTTTAGATTTCACTGTCACTAAAAAATCTGCCACCGAGCCTACTTAACTCAAAACTTGAAAATCGGGGTCCGAAGCTTTCAACTTCGACGGCCTAATTTTGAAAAAAATAGCTATATAGGTATAATATATATAAAAAACATAAATTACTTTATTTCCAATATTTATTTTGTTTGTCTCATGGTGGCCCCTTCCAAAACACTAAAATAGGGCGCAGCCACTCAAAAATAGGGCAAAAATAGGGCGAAATCGGCCAAAAATGGGGCAAAAATTAGGGCATCGCTTTAAAAGCTTGAGCATACTTAAAATTTCAAATAAGGCGAAATTTTTGAGAATTTTGGAAGGCCAAGAAGCTAAATTTCTTCCTTTTTAGCGCCGCTGGCGAAAATTTTGATGATTTTGGGAGGTTAGAAGCCTGATTTCTTCCAGTATTTGCGCCGCAGGCAAAAATTTTGAGGATTTCGGAAGGCCAGGAAGGCAGAAATCCTCAATTTTTACCATCTTTCTTACAAAATCCGAAGAATTTTTAAAATTTTACAAGATAGTAAAAATAGGACAAAAATATGGCAAATGAGAAAATAGGGAAAAAATAGGGCGAAAAGGACAAAAATAGGGAAAATCCTCTATAAATAGGGTAAAAGGGCCACCCTGGTTTGTCTTCTTAAATTTGTAAATTGCAGAATTAAAACTACCTGTAATTTCTTCAGAATTTAATGAAAATCCCTGATCAATTTCATTTTTATCCAATAGAACTTCAGAAGCCAATTGAATGTTGTTAATTAATTGCTCCATATTTTTAAATTCCGGATGCTTGTATTTTATAACATTATATTTTCCTTTCTCTAAAGGAAAATATAATTGGAATGGAAATTGTAATATTATGAAAAGACCCAAATTAATGCTCGAACCCAATTTTAAACTAGAGTTGGCCGGTATCGGGATATAAAGAAAAACCCGGGATCGGGATTTTGGAATGGTGATCCCGATCCCGATCCCGGTCCCGAATCGGGACCGGGATTGAAAACTCGGGATCGGGATTTACTAAAAAAAATTTAAAAACTTTTAAATTTTTATTTTCTTCACATACAACTTAATATAATTCTAAAATTTCCACTGCGGTGCTGAAATATTGAGTTAACAACCCCTCTTGATCGCTCGATATCACACCAAATCACTCAATATTTCGTCAAAGTTTTAAAGACAGCTTTGTTTAAAATTGCTCCTTTTCTGCGCCGCAGGCGAAAATTTTGTGAATTTTGGATGTCAAGTGCCAAATTTCTTCCATTTTCTGCGCCGCAGGCGAAAATTTTGTGAATTTTGGATGTCAAGATGCCAAATTTCTTC